TCCGTATTGGCGATTATAAAACGGACAGAACATAAAACACAAACATTTTGGAGCCATGTTGTAGTTTTCTCCTGCTTGTTGTTGTGTTTACTGACGAAGTCACTCGTGGGACTTCGTGCTCTGTCGGTGACAGCTGCTCTGCTCCCCTGCTGCTTCACGTCTCGTGGGAAGGGCCGAGCAGCAGCTTACGCGAGCAAGACGTGCTGCTGCAGTAACGTGCTGCTGACGGCTCCCGTGGAAAGATGGGGGGTAAATGTGTGTGTTTCAGCTCTGAAACTCTACAGTTGTGGTGGCAGCATTAGAGCTCACACAGCTAAGCCACTAGCTGGTGGGTAACAGAGGTAAGAGCTGCACGTGGCATTCATTCATTCGTTCATGTGTGTTCTTTAACTAAATGTTGCTGAATCCAAGTTATTCATACAACGATTTCTCTCTTCCACTCTGTTTCAACCTACAAAACAGCAAAAAACAAAAAAAAAACAAAAAACTAAAACTAACGCCACATCCGTGTTTGCTAAAGCTCAAAGACTGAAGAAAATGATCAGTCTTACCTGACTGAAGGTAAATGAAGCTGGGAGATGAGTGTCTGCAGGAAGATAACTGCTTCCTTGGACACACTGATCGCAGCGCACAGCGATTTGGGTTTATCCAAACTGTCTCAACCTCATATTGAGCCACAGTCCCTGAGCTGGTTTATAGTTGTTGGGTTTTGTAGTTAAATCTTTGAACACGGAACAACAGTTATGTTTCTGCCAGGGGTGGGGTGGTGTTATTACATTCATTACTGAGCTCTTGTTGTGATTATTAAAGCTGGTATCTCACTGGGCTGCAAGTGAACAGCATTAGGAAGGAAGTTTCCAAAATGTCTCGTAGTTTTACTGAAGTCCATCCAAGAATCCTCGGCTCATTTTGTTCACATTCCAGAATGCAAACCATATCTGGCTACAGGAATACATTTTGCTTAAACTTGCAGCATACAGATGGTAGATGTGTCAAATGCATGGACGTAGTTTTTAGGGGGGATGGGGGAACATGTCCCCCCACTTTTTCCAAACTCAATTTTTGTCCCCTGCACTTTTTACCGTCCAAAAACAATATTACGCTATGTTAAATATACGCTGGTTGAGCACTAGGACCAAGCAGGAAAACAACCACTTGTGTCGAAGCCCGTTTCCCATTAGAACCGTCCTTCAGCTCATCTACTGGCTCTGCTATACTTGCTAACGTGTGATTGGCTGTTCCTGCCACCTGTGTACTTGACAGTTCTGCATTCCTGACATTGCATAAAAGAGCCTCTAGGCTGAAGTTCGATACATATTTTTGTATACTCACTGTAAAGACCCCCCCGGTCCTCAACCTGGTTGTGTCCCCCACACAAGTGGACGTTTAGGCTGGTGCTTAGTGCCATTAGGGATGGGTACCGAATTCGGTACTTTTTAAGGTACCGACCGAATTCCATAGTACCGACCGAGCACCGATTCACGTCATTTCAAACGGTGCCTCGTTTCGGTACCCGTCCTTCATAACGAGAACTTGCCAAGACAGCTGCGCATGCGCAAGAGCGTTACGTCTTTGCTCGCTGCGAGCCAGTTGTAAACAGAGCAGCATGGTAGAAAGAACGCACGCTAAAGCTTGGGTCCACTTCACTAAATGTGATGGGTAACTGGGTGATGAAACCAGCGACAAAGATCTAAGTGAGACATCCTCATCTTAATCTGCTCCGGTAGGTAAATAAAATGTTTAAGATAACGTTAGCTGGATATGTTAGCTTCCGTTTCGCTAATGTTGTGTTCGCTTTCTCCTCGGAACCCCGAATTTCCGACTAGATGAACACGAACGCGCTCAAAAATTTGGCTTCACTTTACTAAATGCGACGGGTGATTGGGTGAAGATGAAACCAGTGACAACGATCTAAGTGTGAGGCATTATCGTTTTAATCTGCTCCAGCAGCTAAATAAACTGTTTAAGATAACGTTAGCTTGATATGTTAGCTTCCATTGCCACCGTTGTTATCAGCTAATGGTGCGTTCGCTTTCTCCTCGGAAATTCTAACTTCCCAGTGGGAAAAATCAAATGAAAAAGGACGGTAAAAGGAATGAAGATACACAGTAAAGATGTTTGCTTCAGTTTAATTATCAGCTTATAAAACTACAAGGACGATGTTAAAATACAAACAGTTGAATGTTATTTATCGTGATATTTATCAAATATTGTTATATATTGAGAAAAATATATATTTAATTATAAAAGAGAATTAAAATAATAAACACTCAAAAGTATCGAAAATTTGCACCGTTAAGTACCGGTATCGATTCCTAGGTACCGGGAATTAGTATCGTATCGATTCAAATGTCAAAGGTACCCATCCCTAAGTGCCATTGCTGTGTTCACATCTGCATAAAGGAACTGCCCCAAGGATGCTAAAGACAACTTGAATTACTGCAGTTCCCTGTACGAGTTTTGACTTAGTTGAACATCTGAAAGTACAACAGATGTGCATCTTTGGGCGTGGTTGGTTGGCCCGTAAAACTGAGTTTTGACAGATCGGTGGCAACAAGAAAGGTGAATCACAGACAAATCATTAAAAACCTTTAGAACTGCATTGCAAGAAGAAAATTTTAAACATCTGTGGATATTTGTCTGGTCATTTATGGAACTTCACTCCAAGGTGTCAACTTCATTAGCCACAGAAATGAAACAGACTGGAACCCGATCAAGTCCAAAAAGCTACATCACTGGGAAAATTAGCAATGATGGACTCACCCACCTTGGCTCGCATGGAGGAAGGCTGTTGTTGATTTAGCAGAAAAGAGGGAATAAAGCGTGTCTCAGCTAGTAGAAGCTAAGTGTTAGCGTTAGCAACTCTACAACAGGGCAGCTTGTGTTCCTTGTGGAGATCGAACATCAACGCTGCGCAGCAAACGGAGGCAGCGGAAGAGTCCCATTGCTTTTAGCCAATCAGATGTTCGCTTATGATGAACATTAATGAGTAAGGCTACATTCACACTGCAAGCAAAACGCATCAAATGCACTTTTTTTCCCCACATGCGAGCCATATCAGATTTTTTTATGACAGTCTGAACGGCACTGATCCGATTTTTCAAATGTGATTCGTGTCACTTTTATGTGGTACTAATTCCGACACATATCAGACTTTTTTGAAAGCGGCTGCAGTCTGAACAGTCATGTCGCATTAAATCCGTCTCCTACGTCACTGAGCCAGCGGAGGTGAGCACTGTGTGTGGATGTTTCTGAGGAGAAGCGCTGACAGAAGAGTTCAGGAGTCTGTCTGGATATCCTGTTTTAGGTTTAGGATGTAAAAATACAAGAAATAATGTGAGCAGGAGGTGGAGGTGCTGCTGGAGCGAAGCGTCTCACCGGTCTCCGTGAAGGAAAAGAGGGCGGGGTGTCTTCGTGAGGGGGGATTCTCCGTGAATGAATTAACACCGGAACATTTTCGGTGAATAATAATTCAGGGAGACGGCGGGAACAAGGAGTAAATTAGTTTACAGTTTTTAAAACAGTTTCCAGCCCAAAACGGAAGAATTAACAGGTGTGAAGGCTTTCACTGACAGTTTATCCACAGGATCAGGATCACATCACAACTCCGCCGCTCCTGGTTTGGGCTCCACTGAGTGTGACTTCTTGTCTTTTATGCATGCGGGTCGCTTTGGTTCTGTGGAGCGTTCACACTGGAGAGAGTCATAGTGTGAACGACCACACAAAAAAATCAGATTTACTCAAAAACATCTGAATTGAGCATCAAGGCCTGCTGTGAACGTAGCCTAAGACTCCAAATCCAGAGGTTTTCTGCACCCCCCCACTCCTCTGGCAAACTTCTACTTCCTGAAACAGGAGCACTGGAGCTCTTTTTCTACTGAAAAAGTGTCCCAAGACACTCGTTCATAAAGACCACTGCAGATTTAAATTGGTCTCAGGCCACAAAAATGTGATTTTTAAAAAATGCTAAACTTATATGGTGACTTTTTTTGTGTGTGCTTCTCAAAATTGGTCCAAAACCAAATTTTCATGCATGATATTAAAAATTCAAACACAAAAAATGTTAGGAAGTAATCTTCATCAACAGCCTGCTGGAGAGACAAAGTTATATGCTCTAAAATTGGGGCCACACAGAATCCCTGTGAGGGCCACAAATGGCCCCCAAGCTGCACTTTGGGCATACCTGCTTTACATCCTTCTGGTCACTCAGCTGCTCGCAGTTTACAGTTTTGCTGTTTGGTGTCTACTTTCCAAAACAACAACCACATTCCCTCTCGGCACCTTTTAGAGAGAGCTGCAGCCCAATGAGCTGGGATCACTTTAACCTGTGTTTATTGGGCTTTTATGTCTGGCAGCTGAGATAAAGGGGAATGATGGGTAAATGCAAATGACCCATCAAATGATATTTTAATATTTAGTCCTGACACGCAGCTGAAGGTTGACTAAGACTTGCCTGTGAACTGGATTAAAGCCGGAATGTTCCAAGCATCTGAAGCTCCACAGAAACCGGCCAACCGGCCATAGGTCGGTGTTGTTCAGAAAATCTTCCGGGTTTACAGCGGCTGTGTACCGCCGAGCTCCTTTTCATCACCAACAATAGCTTATTCAGACGCTTCAGCTGCCACTGTTTGTTTTTACCCTCACGGCCGTTGATCTACTTAAATACAGAAAATGCTCACAGACCTTTGTCCAGAAATCAACCTCAACATGAAGTCTGGGACTGGGTTTAACCGTTTGGAGGCAGGCGTTGCAGATTTGCAACATTAAAACCTACCTGGTTACTCCTCATACGTATTTCATGGGCATTTTTTTTTTACTCAGAAGTACCCCTGAAGGACTTAGTTGTTCGTCCTTTTATCAAAACTTATTTTGAGCCTGAGAGGAGGGTTAAGGACAGGAGGGTGGGCAGCAGCTGTTCAAGGCTGTGGATCAAGTCCAAAACCTCCCACAAGTACATGAAAACACAAGGTCACAGCATGAGAGAGAGGGAGGCGTCTCACCTTCAGACTTCAGAGGCATTAAATCTCCTGTTGGAATGCAGCCTCCATGGATCTTTGAGAACAAGCCTAGAAAAACCCAGAAACATGATTATGGAATTTTCATAATTATAAAAGCTATCAGTGACAGTGTTCTCCGTCTGTCTGAGATAGCTGTAATTACTCTCAATCCTAATTTTTGCTTTCCAGGGGGATTAAGATGTTCAGATCTGCAACAATGGGTTCTGAAACTCACAGCTTGATACGTTCCGTAATCAAACTTCTTAAACTGGCAGTCCCCGGGGCTACAGGGAATCTGTGGCCTGCTGCAGCTACCAGAGGGGGAGGACCGAGCAGCAGAAGACCTAATGAGCATCAGTCAGCTGCATTGACAGAAGCACTTCCTAGAATAAACCCGTTCCACATGGAGGCTGTGAATTACCTCCAAGCCCACGCAGCTGCACCACTGCCCAGCCTCAGAAACCAGCTCTACTCTGCTGGAGCACCGCGCAGCATGACAGCTGTCTACATCTGGAGCTGCTAGAATAAAAGAAAACGATCCGGTTGGATTAAATATTTGATCAGCTCGCTCTATCCGCCCCCCTTTGTCCAAATCATTGTCCACCTAAATATTAAAAACAGAGAGAGACATGTCCAGGCTTACCTCCTCATCCACAGGCCACAGGGTCGCTCTGCGTACTGCGGGGAGACGGGGGGAGCTGCTGGAAGCGCCCTGCGGGAGAGAGAGCGCTTCTCGGATCGGATCACACCTGAACCGTCGGCTCTGCGTTTGGCTGTGGGTGGGTATTATTTTGGTGAGCTGAGAGAGAGACAGCGAAGGAGAGAGAGAGACAGTGGTGGGGTGGGGGGTATCATCCGCGCCACACCCCCTCCTCACCTTCTGAATGGTACCTATTAAATAAAAAAACGTCCGGTCGTCGGCTTGCTCATGTTTTATTGTGTTGCAGCAGCAGCTGAGCGTGGGTTGCGTCACGGCTTTGCGGCGTGCCAAGAAGACGCGGATTTCCCCTCTGTCAAAATAAAACATCGACCCAGATATTCAAAACCACTATAAAACCATAAATGACAAATGCGTTTTATTTTTATCTGATAAAATTTGAAATAAAAACATATTTCTGATCAAAATCAGGACTGGGGATCCGTGTCCAAGTTGACGTCGCTAATCGGGTTACATTCGCTTGGACAGGCCGCCACCTGTCGGACTCAGGTGATTACGTCAGGGTGAACGTCTACGTCAGTGAGAGGAAGTGGGAGCTTCATCCTGCTTAATCAAAAACATAATAAAGATGCTTTATTGTTTCTCAGTCTGTTCTAACACCAGAGCGGAAGCTGATTGTGCTCGGTAGCCTGGTGCAGGGCTCCATCTAGTGGACAAACTGTAACCTGCACTCTGTTGGGTTAACAGTTCCTCAGAACAAATTCTCTCACAGACACCTCAATATGTTTTTATTTAAATCGCATACATATTTTTTATATCGAAACAAATTATTCTTACAACCCTAAAGTTTTATCAAATAGACTATGTGTTACTGGAAATACTTTTATCCCTCGTTTTGTTTAATCTGAAAATCATTGTTGAAACTTGACAAGTTTTAGTTCGTCATCAGCAACCATCAGGAAAATGCTTGCTCATGGGCGTGATTTTTTTTTTTGGGGGGGGGGGGGGGGGGGGACATGTCCCCCCCACTTTTTCCAAAGTCAAGTTTTGACCCCTGCACTTTTTGCCTTCCAAAATCAATATTACACTATATTGAATTGACACTGGTTGAGCTCTAGGACCAAGCAGAAAACAACCATTTGTGTTGAAGCCTGTTTCCCATGAGAACATACTATAAAGATACACCCCCCCCCGTGCCCCCCCCCCCCCACCCACTTCTAAAGTGAAAATTACGTCCATGTGCTTGCTTTACTCAAGTTTCATAAAAAGTGCAAAACACAAATTTTTTGTTGAGCCCACATGTGGTTCTGTTTACAATGAAATAAGAGTATTTATAAAATAAATAAAAATACATGACTTATTTTAATTTCTCGTTTTTTGGATCAGCATCCTCCTGAGGAAGGTGAGGTCCTTCGGGGTTGATTCCTATCTGCTAAAATCCTTCTATCACCCTGTAGTTGGCTCTGTTATTCATTCTGCTGTGGTCTGTTGGGGTGCAGCTCTGATCGAGATGGAGAGAGACTGAACCAGCCAGTTGAGGAGACGTAGGAGAGGAGGAAGCTGGTGAAGATGAGCTCCATCTTTAAAAAACCCTCCCACCAACTGTGTTCTACTGTGGAGACCATGGACAGCTCCTTCAGAGGCAGACTGAGACATCCCAGATGTAAAACAGAACGCTACCGTAGGTCATTCATCCCCTCTGCAGTAAGAGTGTATAACTGCTGAGTTTAACTGGTACTGGCATTATCTTGGTGCACAATAACACCAATGCAATATTAAGTAAGTGTTCAATACTAGTGCAATACCAGATGCACATTACAGTGTCTGTGTCCCTTATGCTGCATAGTTTTTCTTTTTATTCATTGTTTTTAGTTTTTGATGTTTAAAATTATAGCTTATTGCCTTCGAGTGTTTTCCTGTAATCTTAGTATTTTTTCCTCTTCCTTTTCAGTGTTTATGCTGCTGTAGAAAAAGAATTTCCCCACTGTGGGATTAATAAATTCTATTCTATTCTATTCTATTCTATTCTATTCTAAATCAAATCTTAATATTAAACTTTATAAAAAATACTTTTTTTAAACATTTTGATTAGTAGTCAAGGCCACAGATGGGCCTGGGATGGACACCTGTTTTGGGTGTCCTCTATAAAAGATCATGTCCCCTGATGAGTGCTGGGGTTAGAGACCAACTCCCAGTGACCCTAGAGGGGAAAAGCAGTTCAACTAATGAGTGAGTCTTTTGATTTTCTCATGAGGAGAAGCAGGAATTAGCATCAGTGAATTTAATCTTGAGCAGAGGTTTAAACATTTTATGAACATTTCTAACAGTTCATATTAAAAATTTTTAAACATTTTTACTGTAAAAACAAAATGTGTTTCCACTTCTTTAACTGACTGAGTGAGAAGCGACTCAAGGGGATTCTCAAAAAGTCATCGGGTGAAATTTTGTCTAAAAGTCCACAAACGACCTGATGGATGAAGATGAGTGAGTTTCAGGTCATAACTGAACAACATTCTCGCTCTTCTGGACTGATGAGCTAACAGCTAGTCTGAGTGAAACCGAGACCAAGTGTATTTCTGGCTTTTTAAAGCAGCTCCAGCCTTCATAACAGTTTGGGCAAATGTTATTTTACAAGCCTGTAGATCACAGTTAACTCTGCATTATATGATTATAGAGAGGTAAACTTCTGCTGGAGTCCCAGAAGTGCTGCAGGTGCTGCAACAGGTGATGTTTATGTTCACAAGTAAGAGTAGAACTCAATAGCCCTTTTTACAAGACACGCCATGCATGCAAATCAGCGTAATATTCCCTCAACGGTGTGTCTAGTAAACGCGCAGTGCTGGCATGGCATTGTGCAAATTTGGTCGCATTCATTATGCCTCACTTGGTAGTGATACTGCGGTAAATGTTTGTCTTATAAATGGCGATTGCAACTTGGAGCAAAAGATGGAGGTGTCATGATCACGTGGGGAGTCATTTAAGCAGCTGAAATGATAAACTGAAGCGATGCAGTGCTCTCTGTTAGAGCTATAGCTCAGATCACAGAGACGGCGCAGGGACTGTGCAGGACAGACACCTCTAGGAGCGGCTTGTCAAAAAAACGTACAAATCGCGGCTTCAATTGCAACAAATGTCCAAGTTATGCAGTTGAAGCCGCAATTAACAGATGTCCGCGGACTGCCCCCTACACCCCCTTTATGCTGCCATCGCCTAATATTTTGTAAAAATGACACAATTGCACCACATTACCACCACAGTCTGACCACTTATAATCGACCTTAGACTCCCTGATGCGGCCATGGCGTTGTGAAAACGGCTAACGTAAATAACTGTGATGGGAAATTAGTGACATTTTACAGATTAGACTCATTTTAATGTGACTGTGACACACTATGATCTGTGATGTTAACTATTTCTCCAGACTGAGGCTGTTCGGGATGCTATCTCCAACAGGTGAGGCAGAAACTATTTATGCAGTTCACACACACACACACACACACACACACACACACACACACACACACACACACACACACACACACACACACACAATCTTCCAGTTCTGAACCCGTGTTAATCTGCTGCAGATGCTGATACGATGTTTCGGTTCTCATCCCTGTTTTGACTTAATTTTCAATACAAGGAATTTTACTTGAACCTTTTCATACTTAAATAGCTACTTGATTTATCTTACTGCTCTTATTTAAAAGAACAAACAAGTCTTCCACTCATAAAACAGGCTCTTAGCCGTTTTTGAGCGTCTAGTAGCTCCCTCTACCTCTCTGATTTTTGAACAGTTTGTTACACATCAAAGCCCTCAGGACCCCTGCTGGCAAACTCAAAGGCCACTCGACCAGTCTCCACTCAGCTGCTCTAATAACTGTTCCTTGATGAAGTTCACAAAACCCACTCCTCCACCAGATCGTTGCAGATTGTGGGCCAGACTAATAGCTGGAAGAAGAACCGCAGCCGGGCTCTTTGAACTGGGTCGTAAGCAGATTCAGAAGAGAAGCAACCAGACGCATGTTTCTGTGTGTGTGTACATGAAGAGGTCTCATATGTGTGTGTGTTTGTGTGTGTGTGCATCCACATCGTTATCCAGGCACAGCAGGACAGACACATGAAAGCTTCTAAAGTGATCAGTAATTACGTCCCGTCTAAAGAGCTCGAGCCACCTGACGAGAACACAGTCAAGTCCAGAAATCAGCCTCCTGCATGGAGCAGCCGTGGACTTCTGACCAATCAATAGTCTCGACTGTGTAAACGTATATATTAGTGTGTGCGAAGTGCTTCCTCTTCTGCACACAGGCCTTGCTTTGTTGAGCATAACCTTTTGATCTAAATGAAAAAAGAAGCTTAGGTAGGCCAATGTGTTTGAGAGGGGAGGCTATGCTAAAAGAGGTAAGGGGGGGGTTGCCCCCTTTTCATGTTGCCTCTCCTCCTGCTCGGCTTTATAACGAATGTCAGCGATGATAACAAAGCCTCATTTGCATATCATAATCCCCATCTCTCGACCTTCTGATCAGGTGTGCTTGGAAGCAAAAGCTGTGTTCTTTCAAAAAGGGGCACAGATAGAGGGGGCTCACTCTGAAAGCCGTTTGAAGTTCTCAGCCAGAGTTCAAATAGCACTAAAACGTGTGCATGACATTGAGTGGCTGATTTGTATTAAAAAGAAGAAAGGCAGAGGGATGGAGAGATGAAAGGAGGTCAGGGAGGGGAGACCGAGGGAACGTTGAGGAGCTCGGGAGGCCGAAGTCCTTTGGATCTCCGGTCTCTACACATGTAGAGGAGAGGGCACGTTGAAACTTAACCTTTGAACTTTAGCAACTTGTTTCCTCCAATATTCTAAACCTAACTGCGTAACCATCTCTAACAGCTTAAAAAGAAGCTTGGACGTGAGGGAGAGCGTTCTGTAGAGGTCAAGGTGTGTGAAGTAACACACCAGCTTCTGCCCTCTTGGCTCGGACTCAGTCGCCGCAGCCTTTGGTTTCTAAAGCCCAGACGGCCTTTCCCATGTGTGAAGAAGGCCTCCAGCAGAGCTACTCTGCAATGTTCTCATGGTACTCCGTTTGGCCAGAGTTGTAAAGCCATTCCCTATAGGAGTCGCTCGCCTCCGCTCTGATCCGCTCGGCTCAGCTGTGCAGCGAACGCGGCCCTGCCAGCTCCTTTATCCCAGCTACCGCACACCCAGGGCGGGCAAAGCCAGACTGACAGTCCCCCGCTGCCTTCCGAGCCTCCGTCTCATTCCCCTCTGCAGCCGCCCACCGACCCTCTCGGCTTTTCAATCCCACGAAGCAATTAGAAAGAGATCCCTTTCTTTTGTCGTCTATTCGAAGAAAGAGAGAA